TAAAAATAAATGTAAAATGTGATTCATTTCTTTTACCCAAGATTTTTCGTAAAATACATTAATTTTGTTTTTATTAATTTATGTATAATTCTTCCTTATATATAAAGTAACTTTTGCAATGAAATTACTTTTATAATTTATTCAACTTAGCAAATTAGCTATTTCACTTTTTTAATATATTTTTAAATATTCATTTTAAAGTTCAAATATTCGAATTATTATACATGCAATTGTATACAGAAATAGGTACCTATTCAAACTTCATAATATGCTATTCATGAATATAAATATTAAATGTACGTACTATTATACTATATAAATAAATTTCAAGTATGTCATATGATCCATTCATTTGGCTCGTCGTATTCATGTTAGTATATAAAGTACCTACTTTGTACTTGTACGTAAAATGAAAATGCTAATAATAAAAAACATGATACACAAATACATAATACATATAWACTATAGTTATAATATTTACTAATAATATTTTCAATATTTCATGGAAAATTTTTTTTTTTATATTTACCATAAATCATAATGTATTAATTTTTTTTTTTCAAATGTAAAATACCCTTTGAACGATTGAAGCCCTAACATATATCTAATACAAAAGGTTGTAAGAACCCCTTTGAAAACTTTGAATCACTTGTTATTTTTATTTTYAACACGTTTTTTCTTTTACTATGTGGCGCTATATATTATACGTTGTTTGGAGTTATAAATGCAGTACGTTTTCTATATATAGTATACCTACTATAGATATAGATACTTCGTGCCTATATACATAGAATAGAACATAATAATATATAGGCATTGCGCAGAGTTTCCTGAAGCAGCACGAGTTCGCTTCGAACAGTTTTTTAGTTTTTTCTAACCGGAATCGGCTCGGATCTACATAATTTTAGCGCTTTATTTCAGGTCTCGTGATCTCGACTTATCTTTATGTATGTGCACGTATAAAGTACTCTCTGAGTAAATGAAATATAATTTAAATGGTCCTGCATGGCTGCACCTATAATACTATATTTTGTTATTTACGAATTTTGTATGGAATTTTGTAGTTCAGTAAAAAAAAATCCACAATCACGCTGTCGTTTGGTTGGCGGTGCACTTAAACTGAGAAGTCCGCATATGTTCCTATAAGTTATAGGGTAGTCTAACAGCAGGGTTTTTACCTGTAAGCCGTTACAAAGGCTGTGACCCATTTCGCCTAAAATCGACCTTTCCCATTTCGACCAAAGGCATTTCAGTCGTTTTAAAATTAAGTTGGCAAAGGTTTTTGAAAAATACATCCTATTATAATTATCATTTTTATATAAATACATATTATACTACAAAAAAGCATCTAAAAAATTGTCACAAAATAAAATTTTTTTTTCAAATTTCTTCAGATGCTCTCTTTACAAACTCGTACCAAGTAATTTTAGTTATAATACAAATTTCCAATTATTATTCTAACCTAGCTATACTAAAAAACCAACGAGAATGTGAAACATATTATTTATTATACTACACTACTATATCAGACTCATAATGTAGTTGTTGTAATCTCATACTATAATCTACCGATCACAAACTTATGACATGACAGTCATCGGTCAACTATAATATGAAAGAGTTTCCACATTAAAATGTTAACAATTCCAATGGCCGTAGCTTCTCGTGGATTGCGTAATGTATTTTATTTGAATAGTTTTTGGWAGACAAAAATAATTGGAAATTTGTCTTAAAACTGTAATAATAATGTAAAAATTAATAATATATATTGAATTGTGTAATGATTTTTGTTTGAATAGTTTTTTGGTAAACATAAATAATTTTTTATAACTGTATAATATAATGTAAATATAATTTAATGTGAATTATTTTTAAAATTTCTTCAATAAACATAATTTTATATTATATTAAATTTAATTACCATAGTCAGMAATTTCATTTTAAAACGCCTTTGGTCGAGACGGAAAAGGTGGATTTTGGGCGAAACGGGTCCCAAAAATAGTGACTTTACACTTKTGTTTACTGCATTTTTGCATTTCAGGGTGACAGCGGTGGCCCTCTSACCGTGGAACGAGATTCGGGAAGAAACGTTTTGATCGGCCTGGTGAGTTATGGCGTGACAGGCTGTGCAATCAAACCGGCTTTTCCCGACCTGTACACCAGAATATCGGAATACACGAAATGGATTGACGTMAACACCTCGTAACAACAATAATAGTAATAATGATAAAAATAATAAGAACAATAGTAATAGCCAATAGGTAATATTAAGGATATAGARATAACGATTTTAACCAAGTTATAATATTTATAACGATAAAACGTTTGACGACGTCGTACAATAACAATATCGAACGTCGCCACAGTAGTCTAAGAACACTCATAAGTAAGCAGTGGCAGTGGCGTACCCGGGATTTTTCAATGTGAGGGGGAGGGGGGTTAAAAACAAAAACCATCCAACTCGAATTTTTAATAAAATCAGTTCAATATTAGTAGGGCTTGGATTTTAAAGCATAATAAATAGCAAAAAAAAAAACACACGCAAATAAAGCATCACTAAAAAATTAACATGGATTAGTTGTAAAACGTATAAAACAAATTTAAAAATTTATTTAAATTTAAAAAAGAATTAATTACCATATAATTGGAAAGATTTTCAGTAGCGAAACTGACTCTATCGTCTATATTTGTATTCATATAGAAAACCATGTAATATACTCATTTAGTCCATATACTGCGCGCTTATTCCAGATTTTCTTATTAATTATATTCAATTTTTTCTTTACAAGTTATTACTATAGCATAATAAACATAATATACAAATCCAACACCTAAAATAACTGTAAAAAGCGATAAAAAGGCAAAAATAGCATTTATACAAAAAAAAATTGGTTTATTTGGAATGAGAATGACGCGTGAAACGAATTTATGAATAAAAATTACATCTCTATTTCATAGGTATATAAAAAAAAGAAACATATTTTGCTTTAAAATCCAAGCCCTAAATATTAGTTATCATTTAAATTTACAGACTACAAATGGTTTTAATAATTAGGCAAACGCACGATTTAAGATCCTATATAATAAATTATATGGGTAAATCTAAAAACAAATTATGATAAATATGTTCAATGGTTGTGGGGGGGGGGGCTTGTTAGCCCCCTACCCCTTGCGTACGCCACTACAGGTAGGTCTGCACCTTACCAAAATATTACATTGTTTATAAATTTTTAATATATCATTGTTGCGTCTTATGAGTTATGCGTATCATGCATGGACTACATTATATAATAATATTATATTATTATATAATATAGTTTGCCAACCATGTTGCGTTCGCCCGTAGTCTTTTGCCCTATATAAATTCTATTCTATAATAGTATAATATATTGCATATGACGCGTAGGCGTAGTATAATATATGATTTATTATTTCTGTCCAAACGTGCCCGTGTGCAGCCGCCATCTCGACGGCATAAATATAGTTGTGCTAAATATTAACTGTTAATTGACATAATAATTACATTTATCTAATATTTTACCAATACCGATTTACGGAAAAAAAAAAAAAAAGAAAGACATCTTTCGTTTAAAAACGCTTCGCCGTAGTACCAAACGTTATCGACGAATTGCGTTTAATTTTCGTAGAATATTATGCACTTGAACATATGACCGTGTGGGTATATCGATCATTTTTATACTTCGAAGTTTGTTATAAGTTTTAACGATATGTCTGGCGCATTAATAACGAATTCGAAAACTGATGAAATTACATATTGTGTGCTCGTCTGATGAGTGAAAATATTAACTGTAGGTACCTACCTAAAGTTTGACAGCTTGCAATATTTTTCGTAACCGTAAAAGTCTGTAAACATTATTATTTTGGAGCTTTGAGAAAACATCGTATCGAACACATTGTTACCTAAATATTACGTAGTATTATGTGTGTGTGTTGTAAATGTTATGAGTAAAATCAATACATTTTCCTGTTTTTTTTTTGTGTTTATTTGTTAGTTGTTAAATAAATTACCTATTATGTTTGATTCTTTTAACCATTTTAGACTTGAATTGTAAATTGTACTTAGAAAGTTTGAATATAAATCAAAACAATTAGTATTAATATTTTATTATAATATGATGTGCTAATTATTATTATTTGTAGTTATGATAAAAATTTAAAGATATTAGTTTTACTTTTAATTGTATAAAATTATTTATAAAATTATCCTACTAATGATTTTGTATATCACATGAATATTAACTATTAGTAATATTGTAGCGACTGTCATTTTGTTTAAAATTAAATTACAGTTAAGAGTAAAAAAAAAAAATGTACATCATCTAATTAAGTACGACTTTCAAGAAGTAATAAAATATTTTTTCCTCGGGGTTGACCTCGTTATTCATGTTTAAGCAGTAAGATTGTTCGCGGAATCTAAAATTATAAATGTCAAAATTTAAAAATTTGAATTGTTGATTAGTTGTTACAAATTTTTTGAAATAAAATCATAAATTCCGTATTTTTTTTTTTTTTTTCAAAATTAAGTAGGTATATATTTTATTATTTAGGAAAAATTCCACCAAACCTAATGGCTATAATAGTGTATGGCAGCAGTTCTCAAAATGTTTTCTTCCGCGGTGCCCGCTGGTGCATGTATGGTATTTATATTTGAAATGATCTTAGTAATGTCTAATGATTTAAATAAAACTGACTTTAATATTTCCTTCATTACAWATGTATTTTTGAGAGGATAAAATAATATTCGTTATCGACCTTTTATGTAGGTACGAACACAAACGAGAGGATTAAATAAATTGCACAAGTCAAACACGCCGGCAATAATATATGAATTTGAATAAAGACACATCAGTCTTGCATTGTAATATAGTGACGTGGTTACCGATGTCATCATAATATGTAAATATTGTTTTGCTCACAACAGATGAAAATACATTATTAGTGCCATCGAAAATGTATTAGTCTCCATGTGCGTTGTATAATAATATAGCAAACGCGTTTACACGCCCTTCACACGCCATTTTYTCATCATTTTATATTGCCCACCCGCGCACAATTCTCAAAAAACGAACTCCATTGTTTCTGATGTTCTCTCGGTTTTCTGTTACAGGTGAAAACTTCACTCAAGTTTACAGCATATTTTACGCCACACACAGAGTCTTTGGATAAAAAGTGTAAGAGATACCCACACGTGTTTTTTTTTTCTAACTGATTTCTCCCTTTTGTCCTATATGATCGTTTTATCTCGCTTAATACTATACCACTCGACTCATGCACACATACTACTAAGTACCACTTGTAATTACAGAACATCCTCTTGAGTCTCAAAATATTTCTATTTTTGGTGTTTTCAAATTTCGAGAAGTACCTATTTATATAACATCATATTATGTAATACTGTCTGTACATTTTTTCAAAACCATACGAAACAACTTGAATTTGCAACGTAATTTTTGAATTTGACTGAAAACAAAACTAAAAATATTTGATTATTTGATTTGTTCGCATAGAACTCTTAACATTTTAAGCGACATTTGCATCRAGAGAAATTCTACGTGGATGTATATAATACCTACAAATTTTAAATTTAATATAAATGATTAACATTTCGAATATTTATAGCTTTGTAAATAACCGCGTATTCCCCAGGGCAACATTATAATATAATGTGCAGTGATCTTAATATTTGGACTTTCTGAGTAAAACTTTCAGACACGCCCATTACGGCCAGTGTCCGCTGGCCTCGAGGAAGTTCACTGAAATTGAAATATTTTGCTGAGGTGCGATGTTCACCATCTAATGTGTTCCRTCTAACACTTAACCATTATTATGGGTTCGTCTATAACTTGCATGGGCTGCACTTTACRGCCGTAATTTATAATGCTGTTGTGGTCGGTGCAGAGAAATTTGGTTTGCGTCATTATTTGCATGTTCATATTATTACACCGGTTAAGTCATTTCGTTTATCGCTCATATACGCTTCGCATCGGAGTTGTTTTAAAGTGTCACTACATCGTTCGAAATTTCACGCACGTCTGTTAAAATCTATATTGTTTTTTTCTTACTTATGCAATCTGTAAATCTGCAAAGATACAGACAATCAGTTTTTTTTCTTTTATTATTTATCGGTATAATTATTATATTTTTTAATAAGTGATAATTATATTTACTACAAAGCGTATTACGCAAATTCACACTAGCCAGAGGATTACTACTCGCATTGATATTCCACGTTAATTCGTTTTAAACATTAGCGAAAAGACTATGGTAATTATATACATTTTAAATTTTAATTGTTGTGCCTTAACTTTCATGATTAAGTAAGTCAATAAATTATTTATAGACATTCTCGGACCCAAAGTTGGGAATGTAATAACTAATTAGGCAGGTGTAGGATTTTAATTTAATAAATAATCAAAAAAAAAAAACTTGCAAAGTTTTCAGAAGTACAATATTATACAACTGTAAATTGTTCATTATTATACAACTTTTCAGTATCTCAAAAACTAAAAATCTTATAATTTTGTTTGGGAACCTTGATTTAATCTGAATATTAAAAAAAAAAAATTCTTTTTACAGCACCTTTCATAGTAAATCTCAAGAATATACGTTTAATTAAAACTGTACCCACTCTCACCGATACATTATTTGGTTTGTTTGTTAATGTCGTGTTCTTTATACATTTTAAAAATGGCATTTAAATGACTGGGAATTCAAATTTAAATAACTAAACGAAGTGAGAGAACTAAAATTCATTTATAATAATAATAGTATTTTTTTTATTTTTTTTTTTATTCATTAAACTGACCTTTTTCCTTTAATAACCGTACATAATATAAGTCTGTGTGATAGGATTCTTGATTTCAGCAAACAAATATCGATCTTTAATTTCTAATAGAAAACGAATTAATAACAGGTGCAGACAACAATAAAATATCTGAATTTATTGTGAATTTTTATCGGCCATTTTTGTGATAGCAATGATCTATTTACCATAATATTATTTATTAGGTATTATGATACAATTATATTATTTAGATATATATATATATAATATATAGACAGTGTTTTAATAAATAATAACTTTAGTAAATTTGTTGGTGCTCGTTAAATTATAACATCTCTTAAACCTACTTAAATTACACAAATGAAAGTGAATAGAACAAAAAAATTATAAACTATATTTGTTCAAAGTGTACACTATACATAAATAAAAAGCATTTTAATATCAAGTATCTAGGTATAACTTTTTTGGTAACCTTCCATTTTTTTTTTTTTTTTAATAAATACTAAGAAAAATGATTTATATAGCAGTGGAAACTTAACTTTTCCTGCAATAATAAGCCATTAGTCAAAATACAAACGAACTAGTCCACCTCCACACATGTTCGGCTAGAGTATWGGTAATTTTTATT